CATACGACGTGGGGAACTCTGTGCCACCACTTAACCCTATCCGTACGTCGTGTTTTGCTATCGTATCCATACGACGTGGGGAACTCTGTGCCACCACTTAACCCTATCCGTATGTCGAGTTTTACTATCGTATCCATACGATGTGTGGAACTCTGTGCCCCCACTTTTCAAAGAGGAAATTTACTCGTTAATCCGATCCCTACGCTTTGCATAGCAGTCTGTCAAAATGATTTTTTTTAGAAATACTGAAAGATTCAACGAGATCTTCGTACTACAAGTATTCTAAAATGTGAAGAATACAACCCCTGGTGTACAAAATGACCTCAGGGAGTACGGATAGGGTTAACAGCTCCATCGTCTGTGGGTTGTCTCCCTACCTTCTCTCTGCCACAAACACACAAAGGTAATATTTACTGAAGAGGCTCAAGTTGGGGGAAATCTGTAACATTCATTTTGTAAATGTTCGGGCTCATAAGACGCTCCCTAAGCATTTCCTGCAATCATATGGTCACTTTTAAGCATAAGGGGGCTATCCCCCAAAAATTATTTTTTTTGTGGAGAAAATCGAAGGTAAAGTTATTGCCCCTTGTTCACAATTTCTTTAAAAGACAAGGAGAGTTTTCTCAATAACCAAACAAATATACACACCAATGAAACCAAACTTCTCCTACAGGTAGAGCAATGCCCACTTTTGGTGTAGGTCAAGATTTCTGGCAATCCCCGAAATCTGGGTTAGCCCGCTTGTCCTTAAAAGCGACCATGTGTTGTCACAGAGGTCGATTTTTGCAAAGGATTATCTTGTACGCTGAGAAAGAAAAAAAAAAAGAAATTTCTTTAAAAGAACGTCACAGTTTATCGAGATGCTTGAGCAATTATCGCAGATACACGTAAAAAAAGCGATTATATCAGGGCCAGTCTTGATGAGAGGGTTGTGGCCCCATACAACCGAAATTCTTAAGTTCTCAAAAGAACTGTATTTCAAAGTCTGAATTGACCCGCCGATTCTTTAATATGCACTCTTTAACCCATGAGAAAACTTAACCCATGAGAAAACTTAACCCATGAGAAAACTTAACCCATGAGAAAACTTAACCCACGAGAAAACACAGAATAATATGTTCGACCTGTGCTTTTTTATGGAAACTTTGTTTAACAACACAAAACGTTTTTTAAAATTTATTTAAAAGTGTATCATTTATAATTTGCTATTTTCCCGGAAATCTCTTGTGTAGAATATTTGTTTTATGTGGTAACCTTAAACACTGGACAAAACACCTACCAACCTACCTACCTACCTACCTACCTATCTCCTCATCTACCTACCTACCTACTCACCTACCTACCGACTTACTTACTTTCCTCCCTCCCTACCTACCTACCTACCTGCCTTAAGCAACCACATGTCCCTGTCATCTGGTCGACGCCAGAGTAGAGCAGGCTTTATTAGTCTGTAGGTGTGTGTAGGAGCCTGCGTCCAATGTGCATAAATCCACAATAATAATGATCAGCTCAGAAACCTTTCAAAACAAAGCGACAAAAGGAAACCTTGTTCCTCTCTGCTTCCCTTGATTCTACATGATCCCACATGTCCAGAATTCTGGCAAATTTCCATCCTCACAAATAAAGCTTCAAGACAAAAAATTAATTTTGCAATAAACCGAGCCGCTAAACCTGCCCAACAGGGAAAGTAATAAACTGTGAAAAATGCGACATCTAGAATAAAAAACATATGATTATTGTTTGTAACAGAGATGTTTATGAATCCTGTGAAGATATTGCGGGTTAACGAGAACGAAAACAGGAAGAACAATGAACGCAAAGCCGAAGCATCCAAGTAAATATAACTGGCCAGTCACACCTTAAGCTTCGGTGCCAATATCTGTTGTTTGGCGCCAGAGAAGGAATTTCACTGGCAACTTACGCGCTAATTTAATCATATGGATTTTTGCTTCTTACGGGGTTTTGTGAATATCTCTCTAATAAATATAGAATTATCTTGCCTGTACAAATAATATGAATGCTGAATCGTTTTTGTTGGGTTTTTTAAATTTGTCACAAGGTGTAGTGAAGATTATTACACAAAAAACTATGCTAATTCGCAAAGACAGTTTTGTTGGTACGTGAGTCTGTGTACATGTGTGTGTGTGTGTGTGTGTGTTTGTGTGTGTGCGCGCACGTGTGTGTGTGTGTGTGTGTGTATGTG